ATGAGGACCCAATCGTTAAGATATTCCTTGTCTTGTGATAACGTGAGTGTAGCCAGAGATGCTTGTGTCCCACGAGATGGAAAGACGCTTCCAGTCAGAATACAATAGAGGAAATGCAAAGGGAGCTGCAGATCTCAGTAAAGGATGGCAAATGGAAAGCAGAGGCAACAGCAGAGCTCTGCAGAGCCATTTCATTTTGAGATAGCTAGCAGAAAGTGTCAAAGATTACATGAAATCAACACCACAGACTGCAAAGTTTTATTGCTATCCACCACCTAACTTTCAATTTCAAGTTGTTAATTGTTAGGGTCACATCAATCTCAAGTTGGTTCTTAATATACAATGTCATTCGCCTCTCCCTCAGATATATAGGACAACTTTCTACTCCTAAGATGAAATAGGCTTTATTTTCAACAGCCTAAAAATTATTCTGAAACATTAGCCTATTAGTGAAAGCATAAAACATTTAAACTCTTGAGGTGTGAAACAGTTCTTCTTTAGATAACCACACAACACGGTTATGTAAAATCTTACCTTTTCTTTACTTCAGCAGTTTTTATCTCATTAACTTCTGCCCAAGTGAACTGATAACTAACATAGTCTACTAGGCATGCTGGCCAAGGAGGCATAAAATGTTTTTCCATTTCCAAGAATAGTCTGTTCATTCCACCAACTTTCGCTGTTTTACAGCAAGCTCTATTCACCTTTAGGACTGAGACACCACCTCCTTCCAAAGGATAAATCCAAGCTCAGTTCCTACCTCATTCGCCATCCCATCAATGATGAGTATATGGATTCATTGAAAGTGAAAAGGAAGTACAATGAAAACCAAATTAAGCAGATCTTACAAAAAATTGTAACATTTTTGTTAAATGAAGCACAATGCCAAGGGAACAGCTGCCACCAAGTTCTCAGCCTTTAAGTTATCCCCATGACTAATGGCATGTCCCTCTGCTCACAACACAGCATGATTTAAGCTTCCCTGATAAACCACCACTAAGCCAAGGGCCATTTATTTCAGTTCTTCAGCAGGTGTCTTCACACTTTTATGTAACAATATTAACTTGAGAGCAGGGGACACCCAAGCTTGATTCACAACAGGAACAACACTGCCTATCAGATTGCTCCTCCGTACATAGTCACTAGAGCTATCAGTAACTGGATGGCAGTAAATGAGAAATAGGTAGGACCTGATGACCCCCCATTAACCCCAAAATCCATTCCTTCCCTTTGAGCCACGGTCATTTCTGTGGCTATAAATTGCTAAGCTAATCAAAATTACTTGAAGAAAAATCTGGTACGTTCAAGGCTACAATCAGTTAATCCACTCCCTACAAATCAGTCACAGCAAGCATGTGAAAAACAAGTATCCTTCCTGAAGAAGCCTACGCTGACCTAACTGACCAATGACAATAAATAAATGGGCAAGGAGCTTTTTTCCAGCTAATCTATGGTTACATTTATTGTCAGATCAAAAAGAAACTCCACTGAAAAAGATAATCAGCCATTTTCTTAACAGTAACGACTTATCAGGCACTTTCCTTCCATTCGATGTTTGAAAGTGTGTTTATATCTGCTGCTCCTGTATTTACATGACACTTGTTCTTCTATCATAGTGAAAAACTTCTATCCCTCCAGGCTACACAATCAATCCCCCACCCGCAAACACGGACCAAGTATAAGATGACTAAGTTTTCAAATTACAACAGTTGCAAGAAACAAACAGCAGTTTCCATAACAAGTTAAGAAAAAATAAGTTTTAGTGCAGCTAAATTTCTATTAAAAATAACACTATGTCAACAGAAGTCTTCATTTATTTCCAAGTGTTCAAATTGTTATTACACATATGCCATTTAACTATTTTTTATTTGAACATTAATGTAATTACAGTTGGAGGGCTCATATTTCCAGGGGCCTCTTTGCAGTAGATACCACCAGAGCAAAACATGAAACATTCCACATGGTTAACAATAAGACATTTGAGTTACCAGAATTACAATCATAGACTTTTTTGCTAACAGATCACATAAGAAGTACGTAACTGGGGCATTTCCTTTAACAGAAATATCGAACTTAGTACTGCATTTGTTTAATTTCAATATGAACATCTCTACATGAGCAACATCGTACATGACAGTTTGATTTATCACACATATGGTACTTTGGCAGCTCTAACCGTGTTGTGTTTTTCCTCCTAAGCTCCATAGTAGTTTAATTTATAAAACATATTGCTAATATGCCCTGCATAAACATCAAGAATCAAATGCATCTTTCTTTTGCCACTTCAATGGGAAAGGGAGCAGTGTTTTTATCTCATATTACAGCCTTTTCATACATGCACAATTTTCTTCCATGGACACTTGTACATGTACCCTAACTATCATTTTGTCTGCAAGAAAATAATCTTTATTCAAAAAAATGTGGATTTTTTTCTCAAATTAGAAAGACTACAGCCATAGACAATTACATGACAAATCACTACCAACTATTTGTTTCAAAATAACATTGAATGTGTCAAATTTTTATTAAGTAACAAGCATATCGGTTATCTGAGGTGCAATGAATTCCCTCACAATTCAACTCATCCCATCTTGAGCTCATTTGTGAAACTGACTGGTTTATTTAGTTACCTTTTTTGTAGGACATTCATGCAGATGTTAAGATCGGCTCAGGTAAAATATATGATATTTTATCATTATTATAGGCAGAAATGTAAGTGGCAGATGGAAAATTATTTTTAAACACACAAGCTAAGTAAAATCAAACTGCCCCAAGTTTTATCAAGTAAAATGGGATAAACAGCTCCAGTAATTATCACCACAAATTCAGCAAGGGTGTTATCTATAAGAGGAACTAATAGTTCTTGGTTAACAAATACTAATTTCTTTGAACACCTCTACCATCAGTTTCCACAAAAGAACTAATCACTATATTAAAACTTTTTCACTTACTCCCCCCAAATTAATGAATTTAATTCTCCACCTTCCTGAACACAATTATATTGTACTCCGATACACAACTGCCAGCCAATGACCTACTACCACAGTAACCTAAGTGAGGACAATGTTCCCTCTAATATAATCATGCACTTTGAAGTAGCCACATGAAAGTTTTGAGGTAAGATGGGTGAAATCTGGTTGCAAAACTTCAGATTTAAAGGAAAAAAATCATATATACATACCACAAATAAAAAACACCTAGAACCTGTTGATAGTGATCTGAAGCAATTTATTTCATTCACTCATCTGTGAAATTTATCAGATATTTCATATTTATTCTATTTGGTCCAAATATCCCTACATGCCTTTAAGAGTCACGCAAAAAAGAATGTTGTGCCCAAAAATGCATTTGCTACCACAAAACATCTCTTCACCCTTTTATTCACCCTCAAGCAGTTCTTAAAAACTCAGATTTCCTGAGTTACACAAAAGATCTTAACTTTATTTTTAATATGTCAACAATGGGTAAGTTAAAAAGCAGGGGGAGGGATGACATAATATTTAGATCAAATAATACATATTTAATTTGATGAAGTCACCCTTCCTCACCCTTCAATACCTATTTGTATTGAATTATAAACTCTGCAGCACAGAACAGTCTGTGTATGGCACTTCCATGCATGTCTGCAATATAAACAATTATATCAAGATATTCCAAAATTAAACCAATAGCAAGTCCTGTTTATCTATACAAAATTTTAAAAATACATTAAGTTTACCATCAAATGGGAAAATTACAGCCAAACCAATTAAGTTGTACAGTCACTACATAGTCTTGAAAAGTCAATTTTCATGAAGTTGTTTCATCTTCTTCCTTCGATTAACTGAAATAAGTCAGAAAATGAACTCTTCTCCAATTCCACTAATGCACATTTCTTCACTGTAGTTATTATGTGTCAGCTAACTTTGGTCTTTCACCGTTAACTTCCGTACTGCCATGCCCCTTACCCCTCCCAAATTCTACTCAAACATCATATTCTCCCTTCTTCACTCCATTGTTCGTGACACCTACCAAGAAACCCTTCAACTGGGGCAGCATCTAGTCTAATAGAGCTTCCACTGGACAGAAGCTCCTCTTACCAGAACAGTACAATGGTTGACAAGCAAAGTTCACTAGAGTCATGATCCACTATGTACCAGCGCTTCACTTAAGCCCTAAGTATCTTCTGTACAAGAGATAAAACAGCTGTGCATGTGTAAGCGACACAAAGCAAGCCAAGTTAAGTGGTTTGGGCAGGCAGTGTGGACAGGGCAGGAGCATGATAGCCAGGCATTTTGGCTGAAGCAATTTTAACCTTTTGACTGCTTAACCTGTGTTACAGCCTAGTTTAAGCATCGTTGTTTACACAATACTCTCAAACAAAAGCCCTACAAAGACAGGTTAACTGTTCTTTTCTATAGAATAACTAGTTAGTATGTGTTCAAGAATGAATTTAATGCAAAGCTTGAAAAGGGTACCTAACTAATAACCACATTTGGAGCTTTTAAATACTATCTTACTCTGAGGTATATGTCTATTACTGTAAAAGTTTATGCATCACATTCTAAAATCTAGGGTCCAAGAAAAAAGGCTAATTGTATTTTCTAAGCCAAGCAAGCTATAGAAAAATGGGAAGAAATAGCATGTGGCTTGTGTTCAAGTGTTATTGTTTAGCATAACACTTCATGCAAGTAATGCAAAAAAGTCTATATACTCAGGACTGTTTACATCTGAATAAATAGGGTAAATTAGCAAATACAGTGTTTAAAATTATCTACAAAAGTGTGTTTTACCAAGTTTTATTCACTGTTTGTTTGTATCAAGTCTTAAAGCAGAAAGCTGTCAGGGCTATGCAAAAGAGTATGAAACAAAAGAAAAAAATTAAATGGAGACATTTTAAGAAACCTCCTCAGAAAACAAATTCATATTAACTGTTAACTAAACTGAAACTAAAACAAAGACTAAAGCTTTTAGGTGGCCTTATCAGCAAACACCTTCAATCAAAAGGCCATAAACAAGTACGCTTTACATATTATTTATTTTACACCATGAGGTGAAAGCAACACATTTCCTTTTAGTAAAGTATACACAAATAGCCTCACTCAGAATACACTTTTAATGCACATAAAAAAAGTATTCATCTTACAAATCGTTTTGCAATCCAAATATACAATAGCTTGGAAAACAATATTTTAGAAAACAAAAGCCAATGTAAAAAGACCGCTTAAAACAACTAAAATGATAAAAGTTTCTGTATGGCTCTGTCTTTACAGTTTTCTTACTGCATCATCAATATCAGAAATCTGTTCCTTCAGTTGGTTCCACTGTTCTGGATTTAAAGAAATACCTGAAATGCATTAAAAATAAACACTTAAGACAAAAAGAAAATTGTGGTGCGGGATCTTGCATAATTACTATCAAGGCTAGTTCCATACACAAACTCTATGTCATAACTATTAATGCTTGAGCTACTTCAACAACCATCTCAGTTACAAAGTTAAACTACTCATTGGAACACTTCAGTTAGACTTTAGCTTATCTCCGGACTAGTTTAAATTACAAAGAAAATGAGTACAGTGTAGCATATTCATTCACAAGTGTTAGGCTAAACACAGGAAGTGAATTATAGCTCTGGCCTTGACAGAAGGCAGCACAAAAGCCCTGAGTGAGATTTTGGAAATCATTCGCATTCCTGTTGGCTCCTAAAAGCCATACCTCTGTGGACTGAACTTCTATGCACTTTTAAAGTAACATAATTCTGGGGGTTTTTTCCTCCTGTTTCTTAAAGCACTGTAAATAACATATACTATAAATAACTTTTTGGAGAGATTTCTATTCCACTCCCTAGCACTCACAAACCAACATGGAAGTTATTTTTTCACTTCAAGTTCACTACAGTTTCTAGTGACAGTCAATCAATAATAATTCAGTGCCCCACAACCCATCTCCTCAGTTCTAAATTCGTACTTCCTCAAGCTCGAGTCCAGGCACACATTTCCTTTGCGCTTTAGTCTCCTTCCTCATTCCTCCCCTACTATCTCTACACCAACTCTATGCAAGTACAGATTCACAGGCCTACCTCTCATACTCTCTCCACCCAGGCTCTTCTACTATTTACCCCCACTCTCCCCCCTTAGTGATCAGTCTTCCTTCATTGCCTTCTCCCTGTAGGTGGAGCAGGACCTGAAAACAGGTGAAACTTTGAAATCCATTTTTGGGGCTCATTGCCTTTTTTTCCTTCTGCCATCACTGTCTTATCAGAGCACCACCATAACTTTGAGCAGTGAGCAGTTTGCATGGAGCTACTCTTAAGTTTTCCACCAGTCTTTAGAGGGCAGGTTTCTTTTGAAAACAGTTAGGTCAGGTGTGTTAACCATTATTAGGGGACCAAACGTCATCAAGATGTCCCTGAACCACATACCAGATGAACTGCACGCAGTTCAGACCTGCTGCCTGAAACAATCTGACACAATAATTTAAACTGCTGGATTTTTTTTTCTGTTTTTTTATTAGACAATTTCAACTGCTTATATTGTTTTTAGGATAGCTAGCTAAGTGGCTCATAAGTACATCAATGGAACATTTGACTAACATACTCTGTCAGATTATTACTCATTTTATCCTAATAAAATTCAGACCCTTTTGCCCCATTGACAAACATTGCTATCTACATCATGTAATTTTTGTCACTTGGCCTACTCATCAAAACTCATTGTAGTTTGCCACTCTAACTGCATATGCTTTTGACTTCCACCTCAAAACACAGCAGGTTAAAGTCATTAGAAGTTAAGAGTAATCTTTTTTGTTAAGTAGCAACAACAAATTCAAACCAAGAAATTTTCCGGCACAATACCAGTACACCTGTTCATACAAACCTATTCTCAGTGGTTATTTAAGAAATGTTGAAAATGCTTCTCAAGCTTTCCAAATGTCTATTCACTGAGTTGCTCCTGTACACACCGGAAGAATGTAACAAACCCTATACTGATTGTACATTAAATGTCTTCAATCTCCAGGGCAGAATGTTTCATACTTACCTCTTTCCTTGGTGCAATATGAAAACTCATTAAAAGTAGGTTTTTCTAACAGAAACAACATGACATTAAGCAAAGCACTACTACTGCAACTACCCTCACACCCTCATCTTGCAGGTGGCAAAGTTCTGAAAATGGTTCAGTGAAGGCATGCCCTAAAAAGCATGTATGGGAGTGGCAATTAAAGGAAAAATGGCTTATGCTGTGCTGCAGATTAGAAGAACAGTACCAAAACTTGAACACTTGAGGTATTTTCACCTCAACTAACATCTTGACATATTTTTTCCAAAATTAGTCACATTAAATGTTTTAATTATTTTAATCTAAAATTTGATAGAAATTGAAGGACATAATTGTTTTAAAAGAAATTAACATCTTATCACAAATGTGTCAATTAAATCTTTTCAGTGAATTTTGAAATAAGAAATCCAATTGTAATAGAAGAAAAAAATTATTGTGTTGATTAAGTTAATCGGGGGGGGGGGGATGTATGGCTATGTTTATAACTCCCATACCAAATTGGCTTGTATTTGATGCCTTGTTTTCCATAAATCATGGAGGATCCATTCAGGAAAACAGACTCAGGCCAACTTCACTTTTGTTTACAATCTACAGATAAAACTAATGATTTGTTAAAATATAAATTAAAAAAAAAGTTAAAATACTACTCTAAAAATACCATGTAGCAACAAAGTATAAAAATCTGATACACCAAGTTCTCCAGTAAACTGCAGACAATGTTTTAATACAAAATAACATGAAGCAGAACAATACCTTTTCTGCCAGGCTTCATTTCACCTTCTTGATCCATCCAATATTCTCTAATATCAATTAAGACTTTCCCTTTAAAGTCACGAACACTGACATACCTCATTTTGCCAATCTGTCAAAACACATATAAGGGTCTTTTAGGTATTTTACATATTACAGCATTCCCTTTTCCCAGCAGTATCAGACTCAGACGTGTGACATTGCACACTGCAGCTTATTTTAGACACCACAGAAACAACTAGATCAAAAGCTTAATCCAGAGTAGTCAGTAGGCTAATAAGTAATGACAATATAAATGGATGAACGACTTAGAACGAGTTGAGCATTCAATGCTTAATGCAAAAGTAGCTCTCCTAGAATAAAAATACCTATAGTCTTAACATGCTTACTTCTTACAAAAGCCACTAATTTACTGTTTCCTGAAACAAAATTTTGCCTCTATTATAACCATCTTTGTTTGCAGCAGT